ATTATATTTGATGCAAATATTTTGTTATTTGATTTCGCCTTTGCTTTCTTGAAGGCTAATTGACGAACTTTGTCAAAGTAAAGATACTAGAGCTAGACAAATTAAGAGCACCGCCAAGTTGGAGATTGAATATTTGGATGGAACAAATAATTTTAATATCTAACATAATACTATAATTGATATGCTAGTACAAGAAGGATTGGAGATACTTTTGAATCAAAGAGAATTTTTTAAAAGAAAAATTAAATAAATTCAAATCCAGAAAAAAAAAAAAGGGAAAAGAAAAGAAACAAAAGTGAATCACTTACTCTAATTTTTAGATTGAAATAAAAAATAAATAAAAATATCAATAGAACGAAATTTATCACTTTTTCAACTATCAATCAAGTATAAATAGATTGATACTTGCATGAATATACCGAAATCAAGTGATTTGCGTGAAGTTAGATATGCGATTACAACGACCTCAAGATTCCACAAGCTGACCTTGAATAACATTATTCTTCATTTCACCTTAACATGTGATGACAAATATTTTTTTTTTCTTCAGGTTCTAACATTCTTTCTATCAAAAGAACAACAAAGATTTTTTTAATAATTTAACAATTTCTAATTATTTAATAAAATTATTTGGTAATTTGTCTTAACAAGTTAATTTGATTGGCCTTGAAATTGATCAAAACTATATTTATGGTCGAGCCTAATATCATACTATGAAAAAGTTTCTAATGTTTATTTAAAATTTTCAATTTCGAACTGATAAACTATAAGATTTAAAAGTTAAAAAAAAATTAATTTATTGTGTAAGGCAAGACTCAAAAAATCATTTTACATGAAAAAACCAATACTAATAATATGATGGGATCCCAATTGAGATAGAGAAACATTATCAATCGTCTTAACTAGTGAATATCTTGATCATAACCCAAGGAAAAAATCGAATTGATTGGGGGACGCTGGCAGGCTGGCTTTTGCAGCAATAAGCTGGTAATTGAAATCTCAAGGTTCCACCTTCAAGGAAAACTAATCATAGTTTTACCTGCAAAAAACTTCTATGTTAGAACTAGACAAGGGATGTTTTGTAAACCACAGATACACTACTTTCTCAACATCGAAAAACTGGGCAGTTTTTTTTTTCAATTCTTTCTTAGATCGATGGTGGGAAAAGAGAAAAAGAAATAAGGGGTTATTACAAAGCAGGAAATCAGTATCCAGCGTCTTGTTATGTAGGGAAAGGTTGCAAAGCTATTTGTCGTTTTGCCTAAAAAAGGTCAATTTTCACTACTCAAGAGAGCTTGTTTATAGTGATAAAACCAATTTTTCTTCCATTGGCATCCATTCGTCAAAGTCTTTGACCTTATAAATTTTTAGCACCAAATTAAGTATTCAACAGTCTAATATTAAATTGTTAAATTTAAAGATTTTATATTTTCTTGACATTAAAATTTAAACTTGTCCTTCGACTAACCAGAAAAAAAAAGATGCTAATACTTAACCTTATTATTACTGATAATTTGAGTATTAATTCAAAAAAAAAAAAACCACGTATTCGCACACAATGCATAAAGATTGCCAATTAATATATAATTGAAGAAAAAAACGAAAAACTTCTTGCTATTTCTGACCCACTCCGCCTTAGGCGCTTTTGTTTAGGTTCCAAATTTGAGTATTAATTCTGAAAACTTCTTGCTCTTTCATTGTTTTCTCCTTTAGGTTAGTTTTATTTAAATTATGGAGACTGCTTTTATTTTTTTAAAGCGAATTTTATGTGTATGTAGACATTCTATTCAGTACGGACTCAAACTCATTGAGCCTGATCCAATAAGATTTAGGTCTAAGTTCATTGGACTCGATTTAGGGTCCAATTAGCTTGCCCCAATGGACTTTTATTTTTATTTTCATTATATATATATTTTATTTATTAATATTTTTATTATTTATCTGTTTTTTTTTATTATCATTTATCTATTTCTTTTATTTATCTATTTTTTGTTTGTTTGTTATCTATTTATTTTAATTAATTTTTAGTTAAGATTAGAATAAAAAATATTGGAATAAATTTGACTATGATTTAAAAATTAGCAGAGTTGGGATTGGATTCGAAGATTGAATCCAAATCCCAAAAAGAGTTGAGATTGATCAAAAACTCTTCTGATCAATCCCTATAAATAGGTGCTGAAAGAACAGAAGAAAACACATAGAAAAACATAAGCTAAAAAAGGGTTTTAGTGTGTTAAAATCTCGAGCCAAGTTTTCGAACTGTTTTTCTTCCTCAAGCCGAGCCGCTAAGCCGAGTCATTCCCAGCTTGATCAAGCCCTCGAGCAGCTCGCCAACCTGGTAGATGAGAACCTAGGCTATTAAAGGCATTCCTCAGCTATTGCTTGCTAAGACGCCCATCTCCGTTGCTACCAGATTGCTTGAATATAATTTTTAGTTGCGCCACAGTTAAAGGCAAAGGTGCACCTGTTTTCCTTTGGCAACTACCATGGATACCCTTTGGCAAATCTGAAGAACGAAGCATGTTTTGGAGTAATAACAGTTCTTATTCCAAATATGAGAGGATAAGGTTTGTAGGTGGAAAGACCTCGAATTCTATTCATGGAGCAGCCGACCAAGAATCTCTTTATTTGAGAAGAGTCCAAGGCATATTTAACAAGCTCGTCCACCTCTGACTCGCTGATGTACCCGTCACCATTTTTGTCAGCCATTTGAAACGCATGTTGAGTTCTATAGGCGGGCCAACGTGATTGAAGCTTTTGGAAAGCTGCTTTCACTTCGTCCTAGCTAAGCCTTCGATCGTTGTTAGCGTCACAACCCTTGAATAAGGTCATTATCTCACCATAATCGTCTTTCAATGACTCTGGTAACTTCTTATCAGTTCTTACGGAAGAAAAAAAAACCATTTTCTCTTACAGCAAAGAAAAGGAAGACAAATAAAAATGTTAGTTTCTGAGTGTAAGTATAAGATGATAAGAACATCTCTGGTTTATATAGAAAAACCGATTCTCCATTATCTTTTAGAATAT